ATTTTATTTGATGACGAAGACTATTGCAGGGATATCGGGTTTTAATTTTTTTCTCGCCCAACTATAATTATATAGAACGTATAAAACAATATTACACGAATACAAGACTGGCTATGTAATTGAGCTCACTCTGAGAAAATCAGAAAACCGCTGCAGGGAAGCTGACCCTCGCCCTCTATCGCCAGTCATGCGAATGGCTCTGTGGTTTGATCGAGTGGCGAAGCAATTTATTTTCCCCAACGACCCAAAAGTTTAAGCGATCGATATCTATTCGTTCCAGAACTAAAATTATTATTATTATCATAACATAATATTATCGTTTTAATAAATTTTATTCAGTCCGACTGAATTGCTCGATGATTGTACATTGTCACGCTTACATAACTACATTGCAGACTAAACAATTAACTGAAGGTATATATAATATCTTAAACGTCACTTTCGTGTTTATCTTTTCAGTCTGCAAGACAGTAGATGAAACAAGTGTTTGCGATTTTTTGTTTGGTCACACACCACTGACACATACATTTTATTTAATAATATTATAGTCTGTCGAGCATCGGGTAGCCTTCGGCAGCGCCTGGGTACGATCATATGAATGTGAAAAAAAAGAAAACGGAGAAGCAGTAAATAACCGCTCTGCTCTAGATTACACAATGTCGAATGCACCTCATCATTGAGTAGGTATTCGATAATACATAGTATGTTGAATTCGAATTCAATGATAAATCATTGCTAAGATGAAAAATGATTTTTGACATTGATAGAAAAAAAATAGAAAATGTGATACGCTCAAAAAGCGTTTTGAAAATGTATTCAAACTTCTGAAATGAACATTCAGTGAAAGTTTCCAGTATCTGAGGTCATTCGGTTTTGAGTATCTAACACCAAAAAAAAAAAAATCTAAGTTGTCAAGAATTGATTTCGCATAAAAATTACCGTTTATCCTTCATTTTTCTTTTGTTTTTCACGATTATTTTGAGAAATGCTGAGAATTATTTACTTTAGACTTTTACAGTACCAACTAGATCCAATTTTCTATAAGAAACTCCATTTAAAGTGGAAAATCTAAGCATTTATCTAGCAGAAAAAGTATATTTTAAGGTTTAAACGCAAAAGAAAAAACACATCATTATAAAATCAATACATCAATTGCTCTACTCAAAATCTAATAAAATATACTACAACATAGTGTTGGGTACGATCGTGGCAGTAATGGGCACAAAAGGGGATAATGTGGTAAATACACTTCGTTAAGCAATTGAGCACTTGAGCGGTTTGAACTTATTATATGCAATCTTATAAAATGTATTCGTTTTTTTTCGATAATTATGGATTAAATTCTGATTACCCCCACCCCTAGATTTATTATTGAATCAGGCGTTGGATCACGTGGTACAAAATAGAGAGCGATTGTTTTTTACGGGGTTTTATTTATTTAAATATTGCTTTTATTATTATTATTATTATTAGAAATATGGAGTCTTAGCTTATGGGAGCATAAAAGTATTTGAGTATTTTTGCACTGCGACAAATGCGTTTTTGGATGTCCAATAAAATACGAGCTTGAAATTCTCGTCTACGTTTTAGCTCGGTCTTCGTTAACATAATATTGTAATGTCTCCCCCCCCCCCACAAACAAAAAATGAAATCTACGTTTCCCTCGCTTTGTGCGTTTTAAAGGTTGAGAAACAAAATCTGGCGAATTCGCAGTATTCGGACGAACGTCAGCAAGATGATCGAGTGAAAAATGCAAATGACGCTAGTTTAGCTACAGATACGATCTTTTAAAATGTGAAAATCCTTCAGGTGCGGAATGTTTTAAGATGAAAACGGTTTTAAATTATACGAACCGCCAAGTGTGTACATGAAAAACAGGAATCGCAACAATTAAATGGAAAGCGGTGCAGTACATAATATAATATATACCCAGAAAAGTAGCCGAAATTCAATGTATAAGAATGTGCACGAATCCGAGAAGCGTCCAAAATGGCGTGTCCGTAATGCGAGAAGGGAATTTAATTAAAAACTTGTAATCACCGAGGGGAGAGAAAGAGCGAAAAAAACCGGAGAGGAAAAAAACCGTCAAACGATGATGAATCGAAAATATCCCACAGAAAATTCGTGTACGAGTGAGCTTCAAACCCAAATCGTCCGCGAAACGATTTAATTTAATTTTGAGTTCGACGCTCGTCCGTGGGACTCACGAGTAATAACTATATTATGATTCTGAAATAAAAGTAAAATTAATTGATAACTACTACCTTTGTATTGTTATGTGGGAATAAATTGTTTATTGTAAATAAGCAATTACAATTAAAAATTCACAAACAATACTTAGGTTATTATTTGAGAGAACTTTTTTACATTTTTATTTTTAAACATCGTGATTTCGTGAGCTCATCTGTTTTATTGTCTGTTAGTTAATTACCATTGGGGTGGTCCATTAATTTTATTTATAAAATGTTTATTTTTATTGTTACGTGACCTGACAGTGTGACTTGGACCGCAGTTAGGTAGTTTCCAATAGAGTTTTAACAATACTATTTATCGGCTGTTGCCGGTTGTCTTGAACTATTATAATTAATTGTTTGCAATAAATATTTGTTTTTTATTCCGAGCGCGAAGCAAGCTGAGCTACTTGATGGTATTATTTATTTTTCTATATTACGAGTTATTTGACTTTATATATTAATATTTTACAACAAGATAATATTGTTTTTTATAAATTTCATTTAATATGATTTCCAACACAACGACAAAATATTATACCTATTGTTTTGTGCTATTAGCTACACTTATTAGCTGCTATTGTGTAAGTACTAAATAATACTAACAATTATTATCTCCGAATGTTAGGCTAAAATAACAAGTGCTCCAATCCCAATATGTATACCGTTGGTTATGAATTAATAATAATGGCATACCACTAACCTGTTCCGGGTATGCGATACGACACGAGAACCAGGGTCGCAGTCAAAGTCAGTGCCTAGGTAATTGCTGACTACCATCATTTTAGATGCCAACTTTAAACATTGAACACATAATAATTAAATCATGAAAATGAATAATGAAAAACATGGTAAAACTACTCTAGGTTCCTACCTGACAACATCAATTTGAGCGGCATGAAAAAAACAATAATCGTCAAATCGACTTTTAGTCAATCTCTTGACTAAGAGACATCAGATGTTCAAAAATGGAGATAGAATAGGATAGTCGAGGCTTACTCACTCATATGCTAACTAATTATAGCAATAATCCCAGACCATCCGGTGACAACACCTCTTACAATATTGAAGACATAATTCATTATACGATGTCCCAAAATACACATGAAGGAGCACTACACCAACAAACAACCATAATATATTATTTAGGTAAGTTTTGTAAATAAAATATATGTATAATTATAAAATTTAAACATTATGTATAATATATATTTATATTTTGTTAAATACTTACCTAACTATAATAATATAATATGATTGAGACAAAGTTACCTAAGTTCAAACGAAGCGAATACTCAAAAATAATCAAAAACAATACTATAACTGCGCTCTTGTGGAATTCACTGATACCATCAAGCTGTATAACATGCATTTGTTGTTACATTCACTACAGACAGTATAACCTGGTGTCTAGAAATAATTTTACTTTAAAAATGATTTAGTTAGCACTTAAGAGTTTATTGAATCTTTTTATTTTAAACAATTCAATAGATTTACATTACTTGAATTACTCAAATTATTATTATTCGAAAATTGCTGACCTAATCATCAAGTGAAGTGTTTGATTTATTTTGTTTTTAATTATTATTTAGTTGGTAGAAGGTACCTATAAAATGATATCATAAGGTTATGGTTATTTATTTGTTGGTATCGAAATTAGAACAAATGAATATTTTTTAAATCGAAGTGATTTGTATTAAAAAATATTTTTGAGTGTGATATATAGTAGGTATATTAATATGATATTATTAATTTAGCATAAACAGATAATTGCATAGAAATTTATATATATATATATATATATAATAATACTAGTAATAACATATTTATAACTCCTGTTTGGTGCTTAATATTCCATAGCAGTGAAGCTGGATTGTTTAAAAAATGTTCAACTGATACTTTTCGCTATCAAGAACGACATTTGAAATACAATGAAACAACCGATCAGTATCGCATGACCCGTGGCCTACGGTATCTGCTACTATCTTATTAATTAGTTTTAATTATCAAATAATTAGAAAAATAGTAGGTATACATACTTGTATTTTAATAAAATGTACAAATATTTTATCTTAGTGTTTTGAGTTGTATATAAAATACTGTAATCTGCACACCTAAACAAGACATGAGCACTGGACATTGTTTGAACAATGTTTCAAACAGGTTTGTTTAGTAATTTCAATAAATTGAATAGGTAATATACCTAATAAATAATAATGCACAATTATAATATAATAATTAATAAACAACAAGTGAGCGTACGTAAAAAATACCTGCGGCATTTCAGTTACATTAAACGACTAATTTTTGAAGGTCTAAAAGAGCAAAGGAGAAGAAGTTTCACTTACAAGTTACAACGCTTGCCGAGTGAAAAATCCGACATCCTACATGTCTACTTACTTATTCACATATCGGTCCATTTGGCCTAAAACGGAGTCGTGACCATAATTTAAATAAACGGCCATCCGTACAAACAATAATAATTACACCTGTTCGTCGTCTGAGCTACGCGGTGATGTTTACCAGAAATATATTTAATATTAACGTCTGCAGCTGTGACGACCGCCGAGGGTCGTCGTATTGATATTATTTTTATTATATTATCTTCGATCGTTCACAGACTTACCGAGTGAGAAAATCTAGATAGAATAGCACCTCGTTTTATACCGTCTTATATGAGCTACCCATATCGCGGTAATATATAATATTTCGTCCAATACAAAACACGCAACAATCATACTATTATTGTTGCACCACGCCATCATTACCATGGACCACCGGGACGCTCAGTCGTACAGTGTTAACGTCCGGATGGGCAATTGGGTGGAAGAAACTTGTTTGCAATCCGTGAGTGGTTCAGTGTGTTTAACAATATCGATTTCGGCAACTAAATATATATAATATGTATATATGCATACTACATATAGATTATAGGAATATATACAAATGCGCAATACTCCCTCTCCCGGACGAAAACGTCCGAATGTGTAAAAATAATATTTATGAAGTCGGGTCGTAAATTCATCAACCCTGCAATAACGCAATAACCCTGTGACGTGACTCTCGGGGATTGAAAAGTCGATCCTAGCGTGGGCTTGTTATTTTGCGATATTATTTTGTATTAAAATGTATTGAATTCGGCGTACCTATACCTAAAGCACTTATGCTCGAAAAGTGAAAAATCCATATTTTTGAAATCCGTACGAGTTTCTACGCAGTCGTCCCCGTTGTTGTTATTCTACTATCGCATTATATTATGCTGTTAATAATAAATTAATAAATATATTTTTTTTTTTTATGATTGTGTAATCGTGGTCGATTGTTATGCGTTTAGGAAAAAATCAAGTCGTTCCTGACAAAAAGAAACCGAGGAGAATTACTTGTACAGAGGTCTCAGAGAATGTACGCAAACCTTCTGCGGCCGGTAAGTCTATAATATTATTAGCGCATTTTGAAGTTAAGTTTAGTTTATCGTCTGATAATAACTAACCTGTCAAATATATTATTTCGACTTCTTAAGTAAGTACATAATTTAATATGACCTTCAGCTAAGTCTGAGCAGATGTGATCACACTTCTAATTACAAAGGATGTAAAAAGCTATCCACAAGCCCTGAAAAACTTATAAGTCAACACATCACATTCCTAAATGAAAAAAAACACACGAGAGAGTCCTTTCTTATCCTTTGTCTCTTATAACCTCGTATCGCCCAGACAAAACCATATTATGCCTTCGTTACTGTTGACTCGAATAATATCATACTTCAGGTAACTGATTATAGCATATTGTACATCGATATTTAAATTGTATTCAAGTCATATCGCGTAAATTAATGATACCTTGCTATCCCCTGTTACCGTATAGGCGGCACTTGGCAAACATTCTATTGTGGGGCAGGGTTGTAAATTTAAAAAACCAAAATCGCAATTCGAATATTGGTACACTGTACACTCATCAATCATACATTTGTCTCTTGTCACATCGAGCTCTGTTTTCTGACGTTGGGATGTACATAAGTATTATTTTTCCTCCTTGGATGATGTGGGGGGGGGGGGAATTTCACCCCTATCTATTCCCCCCCAAGCAAATTTCAGAATATACTCCTCATAACAGTGCACCAATATATTATGCCATAGATCATTATTATTTCTATCCCATTATGTACTTTTATAATATTATTATTGTTACTCATAATTGTCATAGGTACTACGTTATTTATACCCTTTTTTAGTCTTTAATTTTATATTTATATTTTTATTGCACATTTCTTGTTACTACCTTGCTAAATTTTATATACATTATAATATTTATTAATGTTATGTACCTACCTGTATGCAGCTGTTGTAAGCCTGTAACTGTTAAGACTTGATATACATATATATATATATATTTATTTACTCACATTTAGTGTAAATTTCAATGTACAATAAAATTAATGATAAAGTTTTGAATTTCAATAAAGAAAATGAGATAATATAATTAGTTTAAAATGTAAGATATTCCGATTTCGTATGGTAAACTTGTAAAACATTAAAAAAACATCAATAAATGCATTCGGTAAATTTGTCATGTCAAGTTTCTATACGTCACTGTAGTTAATCCGAAAGGTTATTATTATTGTTATTTTAACAGTAATCACGTCGAGCACGCATAGTTATGAAACAATTTTTTTTAAGGTACAATAGTCAATAATTACTAATCCCATTTGGAACTTCTTTTACGAGTAGGTGCTAAATCGTATTACATTACTTACCTACTAAAAATATTTGTTGGTCTCTCAAATTCATTAAATACTTAATAACGTAGTTCTGTTCTGTCTCTGCTTCGAGTGCTTCACCGTGGAATTCATTTCAACGTATTTTAGTAACGTTGTGCGTTGAATAAACCGAAACAATAGAAGAAGAAAATAATATAATAATATAATGTTTTATATCTATTTTATAGCGCCATCTAACTCCGGTGGTGTGTCACCCTAACTTGCTCGGTAAACTACACTAGATAGCGTTATAGTATTTGACTTGATTTCGTTAGTCGACGCGTCTTGCATAAAATAAATTCTAATTTTTTGAGTTCAATTCGTTTGTCGTTAAAAATCAGTTTATTTCTTTTTTTACCTTGAAATTAAACATTTTATCCAGAACTCGTATTAGTAAATAATCAACTAATATCAAGAGAAAAGTATAATTTTTTTTTTAACCCATCGGTAATATAATATTATAGAAAATCCGACTTGTTAGGCAATGGTTCTGACCTAAAGACGTTATGTGGTCCGACTTCATAATATTAAAATCTATTAAGGTTTGATCACGTTCTGTAAAAATTTCACTCGTTGACATTTCAAAAACAGAATGTCTTTCGATACCGAGGTATACAGTGTTTTTGTAAAGATGAAACTACTAAGAGCAAACTACATGTATGAACTAATATTCATACTCATTATCCGATATTTAAACATCTGCTTGATCATATGATCACATCTGTAACTATATTTGTTTGTTTTTTTTTAAATTTTCATAACAACTTTTTGAGAAAAAGAAGTGTCTAAAACCGGTCGCTGGTCGGGGAATGCCAGTTATCGCGATAGCAAGCAACGGCGATTTATTGCGTCTCCAACACTCGAGTGGTTCGCAAAATTTTCCAAATTTTTAACTGTAGGACGTCCTACCGATAAAAATGTTAAGACTCCACTATCAAAACTGTGATAAAGATAATATTCTGCGTCGACGTCGATGAATACATTTTCTAAACTATCCACACAGTGACCTGAGGTAATAATAGTTTTAAAAATTGTACTACGATTTAACACCCATCGCGATTGTTTATTTATGACAAAAATAACGTATAACGAATACAATTATTATTATCATTTTTGCATATTATAATTAAAATTTAAACTTTTCGCTGTAGTTTTGGGTTATATACCTATACAATAGCTAACCCACCTGTTCGATAGGAATCTCAAACACGTTCCGTCGCGTCGTCACAGGCCGATAGGCGATAGCACACACGACGCGACGACGATGATGACCGGTGACCGGCCAAGCATGTATTATTTTTACGGCTTCGGTCGCTTCGAGTGCACTTAAACAGACGGCCGCTGCAGGTATCGCCGAGCAATGAAATTTCATTAATTTAGGTTAGGTAAGGTTACACGCCATAAAAAAATAATAATAATAATATCTGACCGGATTTGTCCGAGACCACTGCAGTAATCCGACCTGTAGATGCGAGTAGCTCCGCCGTTGTCGTTTCAAATAAAAACAATGAGTTTAATGTTCGCACTCACGTCAATTTATAAGTATGATAATACCTACTATACGAAACCAATCTCAATGCACCGACATTTCAAAGCTATTTTTAATAATTTAATATTATTTTACACAAATAAACCGCACCTGACTTTGAGAAGATTGAGTTTTTCAGGCCCTGCTGAGTGCTGATTCAATGATATTACTAGGGCAAAATAGAACGGCTTTGTGATTTGTATGGATTTGACGAGAAAACTAAATATGTCATTATACGATCACGCAGAATTATTCACTAATTTTTAGACGACAGAAATATTATGTCGATAGTAAATCACAACGTATACTTTTTTGGTACCTCGACTAAATTCTATATTATACATCTGAAAATCTCATATTATAATTTCAAATATATAGGTAGGTAAATATACTCTCTGTTCAACTAGTTTCAATGTTAATTTTGTATGTAATTTCAATTAATTTTGTTATAACGCTATTGCTTCTTTTATTTAATTTATAACTTATCATAGGATCTGCCAATATTTAGTATTTCTAACATTGTTCTCAAAAACCATATTGTTGTGCATCTATTTATCTATGCTAATTAATGAAATAACCTAAAATATATTGTCATATTATATTATTATAGTAATATGTTTTTATTTTGACCGTACACCGCAGGTGGTCTTGGACTCAACCTCCGAGTTCCTGAGGTACGGCGAAGACGCACAGCTCTTGTGTCCGGACGTCCGTTTCCCCGGCTGGTGTGACGGTGCTGGCGGCGTAGCACTGTCGTGTTCGACCAGCGACCACAACTCGGAACTGGACGGGCTGGGACCGGGCTGCACCATGACTGCTTCCCCGCTGACCGAGAGCTGCGTCCGAAACTGCTTCAAGATTTGTGGGTAACTTGAATCGGTGGATATGATATTGTAGACTGTATAGTCCATTGAGATCCTATGTACCTATCGTCAATTTTGTTTTAGGGTATTTTGAGAGAATCGCTGTAAATTTGTGAAAATAATTCAATCACATCATATTTTGAAAACAAAATAACGTTTAACGATTTATTGGATCAATTAGTTACTTATTATCTATCCACAATTAATGATGATAATATACCGAATCGTACACACATTTAAATTGTAATCAGGCAAAGTTGTAATAAACTCTATCAAAAAATCGATTTTTATAGGACAGAAATTCGTCCGAACTCATATAATCGTTATGTTTCACTAAACAGTGTGTTTCGTTAAGCATGATTGCATGAAACAACACACCATCGTTAAATCCTATAATATCTAATGCATACTATACCAAACGGCAAACATTTAGTTCAAATTCTGGTTTTTGGAATTTTTAAAAATACTGAAATATTTAAAATTTAATGTGCCTCAATTTTTTATTCAAGCTTTTTTTATATGAAAGCCACATTAGTTTTAAATACTAATTTGTTATTAGATAATTTTTATTTTATACTTTAATGTATTAAAATAGAAATTCGAATGAATAGTTTCTGAACTATTAAGGAGAATACAAATCATAAAATTATAATAAATTAATATTAATTACTATAATATTCAAATCATCTTTTCCCTCGTTTCTTAAATACCTATCATCATGAACTACTATTATCCTTAGAACTTAAAGTTTAATAACTCAGAAACTATTATCCTTGGTATAATAATAAACATTTTAATAATTCAGAAACTGCAGCTCGTTCAAATTTCAATTTTATACATAATAATACATCAACAGTTTGAACGAAAATCAACTCTTTAACAATTTATAATAAAATATTTGGTGAGTCATACGTAGGGTATCACTTAAAGACACACGTGAGTCCCAACACGTTTTAGGTCAAAGAGTTTTTGTATATCAAACGCCAAACGGGTAACTGGCTGCGACGACGAGACGGTGACGTGGTGAAACGAAGTACTAAGTACTTTTTTTCTGTTTTCCCGAATGGCATACCAATCATTAGGATATGAGGGTATAGGGTATATAATGTAAGACTGCCAGATTCTAAAGGTGTTACGTCCCTCCATGAAAATCTACTGATTCGTCCAATTTTGGCGACACAGACGAAACAAAACGACTCGCTGTCCCCTGGCCTATTTTTTGGAAAAGGAAAAAAATGCAAGTAATAAAATATTGATCACTGCGTGAAAATCTACTAGATTTCGGGAATGGAAATGCGTTGGAAAACTACCCTTGTATAGTGGATGGAAAAAACTTTAAGTGTCATTCCACGTCGCCCGATACCTGATTGCAGTTTAAATATTTTACTTTCGATTGATATCCGTAATTTATTTTACAAATATTAATAATATTATTAACCTAATGGCGTAATCATCATCACCATCATCGTCGGCGTCGTAGTCTGTAAGTTTTGCGCGTAATGTGCTTCACGTTTGATCTGCGGAGAAAAAAAATGATTATTTTATTTCTACGACCCTTAATCTAGCCATGTACGCCGTGTAATTCATTTGTTTTAGAATCGGAAGCAGCTGCGAAAAAGGCGAACCTTTGAAGTTTGGCGATACGTTTGCCATTAGCCCGTGCGTCTCTTCCAAGGTATATAAGTAATCCATTACGTAATAATGTCTTACTATACGAACGTAAATAATAATATTATACAAACGAAATAGTTTTTGACTTGGGGAATATAAGACTCGCTACTCTCTAATTACGCCGTGCAACCGTAATAATAATAATTACATTATAACCTGAACATATTAAGCCATCAAATAAAATACGATGCGACGTGGTTTCGGGTAAACTCAAATAATATGACGCGACGACTTGTGTGATTAACGTATCCGAGCATATTCGCCGTTTGATTTTAATTTTACCCTAAAATGAAAAAAAAAAATTATTAATAACGTAGGTGAGAATACAATATTGCAAGTAAAAAGACATTACTATGTGCGAATGCATTGTCGTTTTTAAATCTCAAGTATTATGCGTTTTCAGATGCGTATAATGCCAAAAAAACACGAACACATTAATTTTACGATGAACATTTTTCTTTTCGCGCAGCTTAAAAGTGTTTGTTTATGTTAGTTTTCCTAATAATATGATAAAAGCTTGATACGGATTAATGCGATATTTATAAATTTTGTTTTTTGACATTCTTGTATTTTCTCACACATATTTTTTTAGAATCTCATAATTTATTGTTCCATGCTTTTAAACTCTGCTTTGTAGATTATACAGGTAGGTAATAATGAAGCCAAAATATGTAAACTTGCCAAACTGACCAGTGGTGGTTCAGAATAAACTTATTACATATAAATCACGTGAACCCAAATTGTTAGTTCAATATCTACATGATAAATATTGTTTGACAGTTGATTGATAGATGGCTGTTGTCGGCTACACCTAATAAAATATAATAGTAGGTGATTAGTAAACAAATAATAGTTAACATAAATTAGTTGGTTTAAAAACCACACAAATCAAGAGCTCATTATTTCGATAAAAAAATAACTCATCTTTTGTAAATTCCATTACTTAAATATAATTTTGTATTATGTTGGTACTTGTGTGTTTTAGTATGTATACAAAATAAAGAGCTTGTCCCATTAATTTATAATAAACAAAATTATAAATAAAATCTCGTCCGTACGGTTATCATAATATTTACTTTGTTTTAATGTATACAATTAACAAGACTGTTTCAATCTTTAAACATCTTTAACAACATATATTTTGGTGCGGTCCCTACAAAGTACTTATATTTCTTAAGGCTAACGATGAATTACAAATTACAAAACTGCTTTTGAAAAATGAGGAACAATATTCTAGTTTTAATCATACCTACTATAGTTTATTGCTAAATTACATAATATTATGATGTTATCAAAATATCATCTTTGTATGTTTTAAATTTTAAATGAACTGGTGAAACCATAAAAAAATATGATGAACTCTCGTCTTAGGCTTGTTCTACAAAGAGACCTCGTTTAACATTGCGGTATAAATTATAACGAGTTTCTGCTTTTGCAAAACAGTTTTCAAATTTTCACTGAGAAGTAAAAAAAATAAAAATGTTCCGGTGTGTGGTATTATAACAATGTGAGAGTCTATGCAAAAAAACTTCGACCCGCCAGTGACTTTACTCAACTCCATTTAAAGCTCATAGAATAACATTATATATCTGCGGAATTTAACGACCCGGACATCCCATAATATTATATAAACTGTACTAAGTCTCACATTTTCCTACTAATAGCTGGGTCGTGGGCGTGCGCTTTGAAAACTTTCGTCAGCAACACAATTCTAGTTTTTAATGTGTTGTTATAAAATACCTAGCTAAACACAAAACAGACGTGCAATTATTACCCAGATTAACCTCAATAATACAAAATAAGTTCATATTTAGATCGCCACCGAATACGCGAATACTATAATTATTACAATATATAATTTAGACCGCGGAGTTCGCAGAAAATGTGTGATGGACTTACTGTTATACTATAGATAAATAAACATCAGCGATGTATATACACTTAAGATACCCGTAATTAATGAAAACAATCCTAAAAGTTGGAGCAACATTGTTGTTATATTTACTCAAATACGGTGATCAGTTTAACTTATTGATATTTATTACATCACAGTTGAAAAATAAATATATTTTTATTCTACCTCGCGTGATACGAAATTAAATTAATTATTAAACATGCATTATTAAAAATAGTAATAAAATAGATGTTAATTTTTCGAAAACGTAATAATAGAATATATTATTGAAACTACGGGAACATAATATTATAACATTTTATTCGAGCTTTTTTTAAAGAAAAAACTCGCAAACATTAATCAAGTAAATCAAATCGATTAATCCACGTGCTTTTTTTAAAATTCTTATGCATTTCCTGATAATTTTATTGTTGACATAAATTTACCGTTATATTGTGCAAGTTGTTTAGTGTCAATACCTGCCATGTCTATATACTACTATAGTATAATATATTAATTTAAATAAGGGTCTCGAAATAAAAAGCTTAAAAAGAAAAAAATAATTTTCATACATAGATTAACATTATATAAATTCGATTTGTTATTTTCATTTTAATACATTTAAGAATAAAATATTGACAGTTGCAGGGTGACATGAATATTCTGAAAGTCTTTATTGGGTTTTAATTTTTGAAAAACCTATGGTACGTTTTTAAATACATTCAACATTTCATATATACCATCCAATTATTGAGGGTCACTTGTTGATTATTAACAAAATTAATGATTTAAATATCACATAATATAACCGGTCCCCGCACCTTCTTCAAAATTAATTATAATACATTATATTATCATGTATTTTAACTATCAAATTATTAATATTTGACTGAGAAAATCAAACCCATCTTCTCTCAGAATAATTGATAATGTTATATCATCGACTAGTACCTTCGTACCTAGGGATTGAGCAGACAGTGATGATGCGCGAGTGAGAGGTGAGGGAGAGAGAAAACAATGAGATAATAATGATGACGACACAGTGTACTTATTGTACATATAACTATTGGCCGTCGGGTTGTGCGTGTGAATTATTAAATATTACTTACAAGCATTCGATTAGGTACTCGGCTGAACGAGTATTAAATTATTACGCGCCAGCGCTACGATATAATACAATACTGATGCGTATAAATAATGAATTTTTCCTGAAATCAAATCTTAAAACCGACCCCTCGGAAATATAATTTTGAAAAAAAAATACCTAGCATTACGACGTCGGGCGGCGTATGGTGTTATCGGTGTTCTAAAATGAAAAACGACTGAAACGATTCCAAAAGGACTTTATAACTAATTTTTGAATTTACGCAAAATGGTAAAGTGTACAACTGTGATTCATATTTTATTTTAAGCTTTCCATGTGAAGTGTTGTTCAGTAAGAAAAAAACATTAAAATAGGAATGGATTGTTCGTTCATTAATTTTCGGGAGCAAAACAGTTTTCCTCGATTCGATTAGATTATGTTTTTCTTCCTACACTGAACGACTTTCTTAACGAATAAACTAAAAATATACTAATAAACACCTATTGATGAGTCTCAAATTATGAGATTTCAAAAATAAATAAATTTAATAACTTTTAATTTGACTTTAAAGCCTCGTTGTACCAGTACATAGCTTTTGAAGATTAAACGGAAATTGGACGCCTTTTGAAAGCTGTCAGTGGGCAGGGGGACATGGTGCCCTTGCGTCCCCGCCCACACTTTAACCGTTGCCATCGACCTGAGATGGTATAATATCGTTGCCCATTGACCTACAATGAGATCGTTGTAAATTGCAGGCAGTCAAAATAAATCACCATACAACAGTCCTTGATTACTAAAGCACTTATGATAATGTGAGAGAGCACGACTTAAGCAATTTAAGATACCCAAGAGATAATGTAAATAATACTTTTCGTAACAAACATCTGCAGCCTAGTAAGCAATTTATCCACGCGTAGTGCGACAAGACAAAAGTCTAGATTTTAAATCACTGAAAAAATGTATCGTTAAATCAACCAATAGTTTTGTCGATTCTACCCAGTTTTTTTGTTCAGTGATATAATTATCTTATATTGTGAGTAGGTACACCCCGTGATAATTGTACGGTCATAGTCGTTTTCTGCCAAAAACGACCTTTCCTTTTACTGCCAGTATAATAATATATAGGGCTCGAATTTTAAAGCAAAATAAATAACAAAAAAAGCACAAAATTGTTTTAAAAAAAAGCAAAAATGAAGCATATCTATTCTTTAAAAAAGCAAAATAAAGCATGACTAAAAATGAACATGAATTAGTTATAATTTTATAAAACTGAATAAAAAAATTGAAAAATTGAATGTAAATTAAAAAAAGAATTTACTACTACCTATGTATTTGGCAAGATACCCACATTTTTTGATCTGTTATTGTATCACGAATTGTTGACAATGTATTTTCATAGCATGAATTAAAATATCCTTTACGTAATGTCGACTCGTCAGGAAAAGTTTTTTTGCAATATTTTGTTAAAAATTCGCGACAATTTTTATTATTTAGTTTATTCATTGGAATATTTGCAGGTACCAATGTTGAACATAAATCGGCAATAAAGTCTGACTGTCTACTAAACTGTTGTAAAAATGGTTGAAGTAATGCAGACTTTTCATTTCCGTGTCTTTTAACAGCTTGAACGTGTTTTTCTCTCCGTACATGCTGTTGTATATTATATTTTTTTTCCATTTGACACTTTTATTTCACAAAGTTTGAAATATAAAATCGATCCATCTGTTTGAAAAAATTCTTCATCAAATTTTAAAACTACTTTTTTCAAAATGCATTTGTTTTAACTTTTGGCATTTTAATACATTAAAACACTATTAGGAACTATAACACTTAAATTTTGAACTGGTCGATATCGATGTCAAACGAGTACTGAGCGCAAGTTCTACAGACGATATGCAATAGCCGATAAGCTATCGACCCATAAGCTATCTGTAAATCGATAATCTATACGTTTAAGGTCGTTTCACACTAATGGTACGGTCACGGTCATTATTGAGGGTTTTCACATTTCTTATTAAGTAAATAAACATTTATTTTTAATTTTTATAGCATAACAGACACAAAAATTCCACAGTTAGAATAACTAAAAAAAGCAATAAAAAAGTAAAAAAAAATTCATCTATTTGGAATCAGATTGACGTGAAACGAATTTATGTATAATAATTAGATTTCTATCTATATCTATATTTGTATTTATTCACTGTTTTTTTGTTAATAAATAATAAATAATTAATAAATAAATAATTAATTAATAATCTTAAATATATAAAAAGAAGCATTTCCTTTAAAATCCGAGCTCTAATAATATATATTAAAATTTTACAAAATGAAACAAATTTCATTTTTTATATTTTGGCAACCCCTTATTGTAAGAATTGAAATATTACATTTAGGAAATGATTTGACATAATTAAAGTTGTTAAGATTATGTATACTATATGCATAATTAGTCAGAAAGTGATAATTATGATAATAATGATGTTTAAGCTGTACATCTATGAAAGATTGATAATATACAATAATAGTATGCATTATACTTGTAAAAATACTAGTTTGAGTAGTTTAGTAGGTTTTCAACTTCAGAATTTAATTTAATATTACCTATTACTTATTTGGTTTATACGAATATATATAAACTTTATAATATTGTAATAAACCTCCATTGATATTTAATAATGCAATCCTACGTGTACAATAAAAGAGTAGTTGTGTTTAGTTAGTAAATATTTCTTGAATGTGTTTTTTTTAAATAGAGTTAATTAATAATCGATTATCTAGCTATTTTTTTATCTTAACAGTCATTCCTCATTAATGATCAATAACTTCAGGGGTTTTAAAACTAAGGGGTTACCAAAATATAAAAACTGAAATTTGTGGTGTCGACAAAAGGAACCTTATAACACACTCTCTTGGTAGTGGAGACTATTGAGTATTAACCTCCTTATCTAATCCAAAATTGTCATTATCCACACGATCTGATCATTCCATAGAAGTTTTAATATAATTAAGTTGACAGATACATGTTGTGTCGATCAATTTTGTATTATAACGACGTGTTATTCGAACATGGTCGAGTGCAATAATTCGACCTTACTCGAGGTCGTATTTTGTTCTTATAGTGTTTAAAATACACCAAATCGATAAACCCACATAACTATTATTGCGACGGTAAAAATATTATTATTGTATTAATGTTTCGACGGTGTTTCCGCAGCCACTGTTCGTCGCTGCCGTCATGCCTCGTCTGTACGCCGAACGAGGAGTTTCCGGTCATCCGGTGCTGAAACTCGTCGACGCGCAGGACCCGTATTGCCGGTGGACGGTTGCCTACTGGCGTAAGACGATGCGCGAGAAAGCCGAAGGACTTCCGGTTCCGGTGAGAAAAACAACACAATTTAAAAATACAAAATCTTCGACCTTTTCCACCCTCGGGTATCGCTTTATTTTCCTCTAGTAAAGGCCGCGCAACTAGTATTCTTTAAAAGTAACCCAATAATAATTATCTAGATAATATACTATAGTTCTTAAAATATTTATCTCTTTATGATGCATAAGATTTAATAAATTTATTGATCTAGGTAAAAAATATATTATACAGGTGAATTAAAATTGTTACACTTGCATGGATACCTACGTAAAAATGCTTTGAATACGAACTTTCATCGGTATTTACAGAGCATAATTAAGCAAAATATTACAAAATAACAATAGTGCTGCAGTAGACACAATACCTACGTATAATGTATAGAAAAAATGCATAAAATAACTTGAAGGTTAATATTGAAAAAAACTAACTTTATTTAGTTAAAATAATGTTTTCTTATATTGACAATCGAGACAGAGCTGTATAAAAGTATAATGATTATCTATTTTTCAATTATTTTAAATTAATAACTAAACGTTATTCTTACTATAAAATAATAGGTGTAATAGTATATAGGCATTAGGTACACCTAGCTGACACATTATTGTGACATCTAATTTATACAAAATATAATGAAATTAACCGGCAAATTCTAATGTCAGTTGTTACGATAGAAACATTAACTAGTTTAGTCATCGAGCTAATTATAGATCATAAACTATAACGAGTTAAAAAGTTAGATTTTTTAACTAGTTCATGCAAACCATTGATCAGTATTATTGTACCATAATAATTTTTTTTTTATTTTCCTGAGCCCGGCAACTGTGGCCATTAGCTTTTTTAGTAGGTATTGTAGATTTGTAGGTTTGTATTGATTGTTTGTAGATTTTTTGGTACGGTAGGGGGGAACACGTGTGTGTTTGTTTTTTGGCAGAATTTCGAATGGGGCACCCGTAGGTTTCTGCCATGCCCCGGGGGTGGGGGATGGCAGCACTTGTTCTCCGGTCACCGCGACTTGTCCGGAGAAAAATGCCGCCCGGTGGCCGAGGATCGAACCGCGACCGGCTGCGTCGCAGCGGAAGAGTCAGACCACTCGGTCACCTCGTCCCACCATAATAATTGATCGCCGTATCCATTCGTAACAACACGCGAGAGAGGAAAAGAGGTCGTTGAAAAGAGAGAAAAACACACACAATAAAATATATACACAGCCGGTTCCACCGTTAACCACGGGGCTGCTCCTCCGAAGTCGGACGTTCGATCCAAAACTCCGACGGGTTGTGTGCGTGTGTATGTGACCGGAACAGCAGAGCGGAAAGGATGCGCGTGGGAATAAGTACACACACACACACACACACACACATACACACACAATAATAATAATGCGATTGTTTCCTCCGACGTAATTACTGTACATATATAGCACGTTTGTCCTTGAGAGATTTCGACGCGCGCTACCCACCGCACGCTGCGAGAGAAACGAGTAAACTCGTAAACGCGCGGACGAGTCGCAGTCGACGACAAGACCAGTTGTGTTCGTGTTTCTCGACTCTCGAGTAGATATACCTACCTACCTATATGATACACAACTCCACAGCAGCGTTTCGACTGCTATAATATAATAATATTATATCGTATTGTATACACAATATATTATTGTTGTTTGTTTTAATTTCGGGCCATTTTTTTCAATAACTATTATTGTTACAATGTTTTTGAATTTCCACACGCAAAACGAATCGAAAACGCGCGAAAACCACAAGCACGACCTCTCCCGACCTACGCGCTGGACTGACTTTTTTACGCGTGTGTAATCGTTGCAGAACGGAGCCAGGGTGGTCCTAAAGCACAATGCCACGAATCTGAACGTAGCGGTGGAGACGGACTTTCGGATTGCGACGTTCTTCGGCGACGTAAGTACCTATAATATATACGTACATTTTTCATTAATATAATATTGTGCCGATCCACGCAATATGCCACATGGTCTATATACCTATACTTGATGTATGAAAATACATCATGGTGCATTAGGGCCCACAGGAGTCTTCTCAGTGGGGTCCAGTGTTCATACACAATATGAAATTAAATTAAATAAAGTTAGAAGAAATTGTTCGTGCCGGTCAAATGCTATACTAATAATGAGTTGTCACTTATTGATCTTAATTATAGTACTGCAGCAGACGCATTACGTACTATAACCCCGACACTAATTGAACATCTCAAGACAATAACTGATCATGATCATTGATCAGCAAAGCTCTTATTAATTGTTTTTTATAATTAATATAATAATAGTAATAATAATCGCTGTTCGTTGGAATGTAATTATATATACATTTAATATATATATATATATATATCGTATAAATTAGTAATCGTTTACGACAATCTCGTTTCGACAATCTACGACTGTTTTTTTTTAAATACGTGAGCCGTAAAATGCGTACACGTAACTTGTAACAATATTACAGTGTTTCGGACGAGTGAAAAAAGACAATCGTAAATACCGTGAGACAAAATCGTATAAAATAATAATAATGATAGTGCGATGTATGCATGTACAGTCTGTGCGTCGCGGGTAGCTATCCCCGTTAAAGTCTCTAGAGTCGAGGTCAGCGCGTAGCTTGTATCTTTAGTATTATTATTATAATATTAACATACGTGGAGATTCCATTATGAAAACGACGACTGTTGCATTATTATTACTCGAGTTATTTATTATTATTATTATTATTATTGATACGTCGAAAACGCGACGGCGACTGCGCTCGTTCGTTCCGATTGATATTTTACACGCATTTACTCGGCAGCTGCACGCGCGAGTTCTAAATCTTTCATTAACGGAACTAGTTTCTATATAAGCTACTCGCCGAGACTCGTAATAATTATATTTATATATTTATTTAATCTACCTGTACACCGTCTGTAAGTACTCGTATTATACCCCCGAGTACCCCCACCCCTTCCATCGCCCCTCCGACGGCGCGCGCTAAGGTCATCGAGGTACACGAGAGTCTACCGCAAAATCTCGTCTGCATAATATTATAATTTATTATCGCGTTCGCTGCAAACTGCGGTGAAACTTTATCTCATCATTAATTAAATACCAATACAACAATAATTGAAAGGCGCGGGCTCGTTCTAGACGCGTCAGCTAGCGGTTATTCGTACATCCAAACAAAATATATTGACGAAAACAAAATAGTTTTCTGTGGTTTTAACCGCGCGTGTAACCTGCAAGACAAAGATAAAAGTCAAAATTAATAACGTAAATAAAATATTATAATGTTATGTTATTATTAGTTTCAGTGATACTACGTATAAGACTGCGTTCACCTGCAAATAAAAATCCGAGTAGAACTTTTGCAATTACGTCGATAGTCAACTGTTATTATAGAAATTTGCATGAAATACTCATTATTTCAAATATTTTTTTTCATAATTTCAAGTTGTTACAAGACAACATTTCTAAAGGAAAATTATATTTTTCACAATTTGTTATCGTTATTATTTCATAAGTTTTTACTTTATAGAGAGAAAACGTTCATATTTATTTGAAACCAAAGTATTTTGATTTTTGACACTCAAGGTTGGATATTTTAGACGAGTTATTAAATACTTATAAAGTATTCGTCCTAAATTGTATTTTTTTATTATATTGAAGTACTCCGATATTTAATATTCTGCTTCACATTACCAAAGGAATTAAAAATTCTGTATAATATATAATAATATTTAGAAAATGAAAAATTCATAGATAATCTTATAACCACAAAAATATAATTTTTTTTTCACAATTCCGTTTTGCAATGTCTTAAAATTATGTAAATAAATATTTTTAAAAAGATTTTTAGTTAAGTGTCTCTGATAAAATAATCAGTCGATATTGTGCGGAAAATAGGCTGCATATTATAACTTATATTGAATTATATTTTCCAAACGTAATAGCTATTGCAATCAAATTCTATAAAGCATTAAAAAAAATATGCAGATCACGTTATTATAACATTATTATTATTAATTATCTTTGAAAAAGACGGTAGGGCTATACAATATCATATTATACTGACGAAAATCGAGTTGAATGAAAAACGTTAAGCTATTGTACCGCAAATGCTCAAAACGCCATCATCATTCCGTCCATTTCTCCAGCGTGTACACTACACGATAATAATAGTTGTTATGAATCATAAAATCTCGTCTCGGGTACATTTTTTTTTTCATATATATTGTAATGTTTGCACGGTTCTCGGGGGCAACAAGAATGTAACAAAAACCACTACTCGGTTAGTATAAATTGGCATTGCGCACAATATAATTATTATAATAGGTACGTAACGACTTCCGATGATGAAAAACAGATGTTTTAAGTACTCGCGATATTATTATTGTATGCGATAATGCGATATTATATCATAGGTACTGTAGTCGCGAGTTTGAAACGAAATCTCTGGTAGGTCGGATCGCGGACGACAATAACGACGACGAGTGAAGGAACAAATGTGGAACGACGTGAATTATGATTTTATTATTATTGTAAGATTTGTACGTCAGAATGATATAATAATCATGACTCGAGTACGTCATTAAAGTTAAATTATTTTGGTAATATAGAATATTTTATACAATGTGATTTGATGGTTTTGCCCTTTAATAATACATTCGTACAAATTCTGATTTTCAGAATTTTTCAATATACTAACCATGTGATCATATTTAAATTTTTAATTTCTAGTGTACAATTATTGTAAATAACTTTTATTTTTTGAAAATGTTGATATATTTACATCAATATTTAAACTGGTTGTTTCTGAGTTATTACAATGTGCATATAAGTACTTACTAAGGATAACAGTAAATACAAATAGTTTTATACTATAAAGTAAATGTGATATTGAATTTAGTATTTGTTATATACTCTGACAATTTTTACAAACAATATAATGATTTATGATTTTGAATGATTTTGAAAAAGAGATTTGATGGATCAATATAAATTACTATGATTTGCAAAAAAAAATCCTTATCCTTCCCCTTCCCCTTCCCCTTCCCCTTCCTCTTCCCCTTCCCCTTCCCCTTACATCTTAATCCTATTAACATGTGGCTATCAACCTTAGTGCGAAAAGTTAAATAATTCAAAAACTACTCGTTCGAATTTCGATTTATAAAAATTCAATTTTTTTAAAATAAAAAAGTCATCTGCAGCTTAATAATTTAATGGAAAAAAGGTGATTCTATATTGTTTTTGAAAAAAAAGTTGTTCAGGTTAGACACGCCTTAAAATTTAAACGGTGTAAAAAATCTAAACAATCGAAAATATGGTCCTTAAGTGTATATTTATAAATTTTAAAGATCAGGATTCGAATAATATTAAAGGTATTAAAGGAGAGCATGAGGGTGAGCATGCTTGGTGAATGACCCTGTATAGATTCAAGCACTCGGAGTGTTCGTGTTTATTTTTATTATTGAGTATGAAAATTTTTTTTTAATGAGCACAAATAACGTTCACTGCGTGCGAGAGACGTTTTTCGCGCTGCAGCTAAACATAACATGTAAGTAATAATAATAATGAATACCGAGGGGAACGGCCTCAGAATTTTTCTCACCGAGTGATGATCGAATTTGTCGGATGCGGGTGCATGAGTGGCATAATATGCACCTTTATCGGTGGTCGCGGAGGCGGGGCGTGGTGATCGGCGCGATTAAACATTTTTTATCCTCGAAAATAACCTGCAGACACCGAGAAATTATAAAAAAAAAACAGCTGACCGTTGACCGCGGCGGACGGCAATATATATTTATGTACAAAAACATCGAATGAGGTACACCTCACAGGTATACACGTCATATTATATTATTATATGTTGAACAACTCATTATTTAGTTACGTTAATTATTTTATGAGATTTTACAGCTGGTGTAACAGAAATTACTGCATGCAAATATAACTAATCAACTACGCGCATATATAGGTGTATTATGTGTAATCACTTTTGTTCCAATAATCGATATTCAAATTTGTTTTTTGTTATTTCGGTTCAATTATTAATCGTTCTAATAGAGTAAAAAACGTTAAATCGATCAGCCAATGTTACTAATAATTAGACAATTATTTAATTACGCATTTGTCGGCAGTTCTGTTTAAAGTTTAGTAATTTAATATGCGAAAACAATGGGGGTACAGCTGACACTGCTACAATATATTTGAACAATAAACAGCTTATATTGTTTGATTGGTACTGTTTTACTGTTTTATTAAAGACTTAAGTGAATTTTGGCATACAGACTAGTGATAATAATTTCTCATTTAACTATAATCATGATTTCATTAGGAGGGTCAAAATACTGAATTCTGTTATAAAACAAACCATAATAAAACATGTTTTAAATATCTTGAGAAACGCTGAAACTAAGACCGAACGCATTCGTAAATGAAGTATTATATTTAATTATATTTTATATACCGTTGCAAGAACGATATAATTCTTGGTACATATTTTTGTAGGTAGAACATTTCATAGATTGCGTAAGTTTAACCTTACAACAATCGTACACCACACATACACAAATAAATGTATCCATAAATGTTTAAAAATACAAACGATTTAACTGTTCCGCCGTAAAAAGTTTACGAATCTTTGGCTATCGGCTTTCACTCGTCGTTTTTTTTAAATTATGGAACAACTCGTTTTTTACGATATGACATAAAAAATCATATTTTATACAGTGGACGTATCTGTAAGATCTTCAGTATCCACATGGTATCAACGAGTGTTTTTTTTAGCCGATTTACTATAAAGCTAAGAATAGTGAAGATTTTATAATTCAGACAGTTAATTTCAAGATTTCTAGAGTATAATATTTATTAACGTTAAACGGATTTGCATTTCTCTGATGAAATAATAAAACT